GGCCGCAGGAGACATTTGAGTGAGATTTGGAAGGCAGCGGTGAAACAGCGGCCACTTTCACACTCTGCAGCTCTGTGTGAGCCAGGCACTGTTGCAGCTCAGATGTGTTGTTGCTGATCTCCTGGCTCTTCTTTTTGGCCTGGGAAATCAGCCAGGCCTGTAGCTTCAATACCTCTTTTTGGATCTTCTCCTTCAGCATCTCCAGATCCTAGGTGCATGTGCAAGTAATTGCGAAGGATGCTGGCTTTTCTTGCAGGTTACCCATACTGTCAAGGTTGGAGGTGGTCAAATGTGGATTCCAGCTGTCACATGGGTTCCAGTTTGTTTTTGCACTAGTCCACGCACGTTCATGGTAGGTGGCCCAGGCGGCTGAGGCTTCAGCGAACCATGATCATACCACTGCACTCCAGCCTCAGTGACAGAATCAGACTCTGTCTCAAAAAAAAAAAAAAGAAAGAAAGAAAAAAAGAAGACATTGTGGCTTCTGTCTTGGTCTCATTCTCTCCCTCTCTCTTTTCTCTGAGATCACTTGATATGGGGAAAACTAGCTGCTATGTCAGGAGGAGCCCTATGGAAAGGCCAATGTAGTGAGAAACTGAGGCCTTTGGCCAATAGCCAGCAAAGAACTGAAGCCTTCTGTCAATAGCCATGTGAGGAAGCCGTCTTGGAAGCAGACCTTCCAGCCCCAGTCAAACCTTCAGATAACCATAGACCCCAGCTGGCACTTTGACTGCAACCTCATGAGAAAGCTTGAGCCAGAATCATCCAGCCAGGTTGCTCCTGGATTCCTGACCCACAGACGCTGTGTGAGATAATAAATGTTCATTGTGTCAAATTGCAAAATTTGGGGGTAATTTGTTACACAGAAGTAGGTAGCCACTACAGTGTCCATCCTGTCATTTCAACTGCTGTTCCTGCTTCAAGTCCACCACCAGACACAGGTTAGCATTCTTACGTAGGTGGCTTCACCAGCTCCCACAATTGTGTCATGCCCAATTCCACACTAAATCCCTTATTCTGCATCCCTCACAGTGGTTCTTCTTCCCTAATCAAACACTATTTAATACCCCAAGGAGCTAAGGGGAGAGACACCCCAGTCCTTTCATCATTGGTTTCTCCTGAAGCAGAGGTTCTCAACCTTTCATCAGAACCACCAGGGAGCTTGAAAGAAAATACTATGCCTGGGTCACACCTTCAGAAGTTCTGATTTAATTGGTCTGGGATGTAGCCTGGGCAGTGGGATCACTTATAGCTTCCACGTGCTTTTAATGCACAGGCAGAGTTGAGAGCCAGTGACCTACAGTCTAGTCTGGCTGATTCAACTGGTCCTTCCAGGTTCCTGCCTTCCCCGGCCTTCCTTGGGCTGGGATATGGGTGCCAGTCCAGGCACCCATGGCAACTTTGAATGAGGAGCTCTTGACTTCCAGAAGTAGGGGCCACATGGTGGTAGCCTCAGCAAGACTGAGTTCCCAGGGCAGCACAATTTGGCAATGGCCACTAGGGTTCATTTCTGGTTATTTAACTCCATTAATTCTGCCATCAATGCTATGAGATTTAGCCAGTATCCTCTTAATTATATACTTTTTTTTCTGCTTGGATCAGGGGACCTTGAAGATTTATTCCAATGCTGAGAGTCTGGATCTATGAACCAAATCTCACATCAACTCCCAGAGTGATCTCAAGGGTCTTTAGCCCCGCTATGGATCTCAGTTTCCTCATCTGTCAAGGAAAGGGCTGTGTTAGGTGAGCTTCAGACCCTTTGTCTTGGGTTAGGTTGTCTGAACACAGGCTCTGAGATGGAGACTTTTGTGCAGGTGGTTTCTGGGAGTGTGCCTTTAGGTCAACTCCTATAAGAGAATGAGGGAAGCAAGGTTGGGAAGAGAAGGAGTTGAGCTGTGATGCAGTCACAACAGGAGGCCTCCCATGATCCCCTGGGTATCTGAACCAGAGATGACCCCAGTTGAGGCAATGGGGCTGGTTCTTTGTACCCCCAATAAGCCAGTCATTGAATGTGGTCTGCCCCCAGGAAGGGGCTGTGACCTTGTGTGAGGCAGTTTTCCTGGACTGCAGGCAATTCCTGGAGAGAGACAGCTGATTGCTGTCAGCAACCAACACCCAGGCAGCTGAAGGAAGCTTGTGGCAAAATACTGTAAACTCAGTAGCTTACAGACAACAAAAACTTATTTTTCACAGTTCCATGGGCTGGAAAGTCCAAGATCAAGGCACTGGCAGATTCAGTATCTGGTGAAGGCCCACTTCCTAGTTGAGAGAGAGCCATCTTCTCACTGTGACCTCACATGGCAGAGGGATGATGGTGCACTCGGGGTCTCTTTTATAAGGTCAGTAATACCATTCATGAGGGCCCCACTCTCAGAACCTAATCACCCCCTAAAGACCCCACCTCCTAATACCATCACATTGGAGGTTAGAATTTCAACTTACGAATTTTGGGAGACACAAATATTCCGTTCATAGCAAAGGGGATCTGAGCAATGAGCCTCAGCGAGACTTCACCCTTCTGGTTCAAAGATTCTGTGATTTTAGCTTCAGCCCCAGGGCTATCTGTAGAGAAAGGGGTGGATTTCTTACTCTCTTTGGCTAGGCATGGCATCAGACACCCCAGGGGAGGAGCTGAAAGGTTCTGGGAGACCAAGAGCTTGATTAAAGCATAACAACTCTCCTTAAAACCGCCCTCATCATTAGCAGTGGGAGAGCCACAGGGAGGAGTGTTTGCCTCTCCAAAGAGCTGGTGGGGATGGGCGGTGGTTAAAAGCCACTCCTGGAGGAAGGTGTGGCTTCCAGAAGGAAAGTCTCTCAGGTATAACACTCAACTCCCCAGAGCATGGAAGATAATGGAGCTGCAAGAGACTGTGGTCGCCATGGTAATGGTATCTCAGATTCCAACTGAATGTGAGCTCCTGGCTGGGCTGTCAGTCACACAGCTTCTGCATTTACAGTGGGACCCAGACCCAGCACTGGTCAGGAGTGGGGAGGAGAAGAGACCGCTCTGGTGCATGCACACAGCAGGGTCATGGGAGCATCTGTGCTCAGGTGAGTGTCTTTGCACATATGATTCTGTGCACATGCTTGTGGTCCTAAGCATGCACAGGCTTGGTTTTTTCAAGCAAGAAAAACCAAGTCCAATGCGTGTGTGTGTTGGTGCTGGAGATGGGGGTCTGAATGCTGGACCCACTGCCCATGGACATCAGGCAAAGCAGATTACTCTATTTAAGAGTCATGCTTTTAGGGCCTCTACACCCTTCTTCAAAATATCAACAACTGCCATTGTCCATTCATCATTACAAAGTCATTTCGGAGAAATTTTCTACCTTTAATTGACCCTTTTAAAATGCAAATAATTGGCTGGGCATAGTAGTTCATACTTGTAATCCCAGCACTTTGGGAGGCTAAGGCAGGGTGATCACCTGAGGTCAAGAGCTCAAAACCAGCCTGGCCAACAGGGTGAAATCCCGTTTTTACTAAAAATCCAAAAAATTATTTAGGTGTGGTGGCATGCACCTGTAATCCCAGCTACTTGGGAGGCTGAGGCATGGCAATCACTTGAACCCAGGAGGTGAAGGTTGCAGTGAGCCAGGATCACACTACTGCACTCCAGCCTAGGCGACAGAGTGAGACTCCATCTCGAAAAGAAAAAAAATGCAACTAATTGTCAATTACCAATCGACCAAGAATGGATGGGCATCCCCAAAAGATAGGTAAAGAGAGAGAGGAGAGCTGGATCTGCCCAAGAGCTGGATCTGCCCTAGCTTAGTGCCTCTCATATAGTAGCTGCCCAGCATATGTGTATGGACTTATGAATGTATAAGTATATGAATAAAGAGAGAGCTATGGTAGGGGAAGCATAACCATGAGAGAGAATGTTCTGATGGCCAAGTGGAAGGGTTCCTGGGATTGGCTTCAATTCAATTCAATTCAATGCATTGCATAGCTTCCCTGTGTCAGGTATTGGGTTGGGGTATAGTGGTGAACAGGGCAGTTTGGGTCCTGGTCTCTGGAAGCTCGGAGTCCTTTGCGAGTGTGGGCTTATCTTAGTCTGTTTTTAGGCTGCTATAACAGAATACCATGAACTGGGAAGCTAAAAACCAAAGAAATTTATTTCTTATAGTTCTGGAGGCTGGAAAATCCAAGATCAAGGTGCCAGCAGGTTTGGTGTTTGTTCCTAGTTCATAGATGGCTGTCTTCTCTCTGTGTCTTTACATGGCCAAAGGGGCAAAGAGCTCTCTAAAATCTCTTTTATAAGGGCACTAATCCCACTCATGAGGGCTCTACTCTTGTGACCTAATCAGCTCCCAAAGGCCCCACCTCCGAATACCATCATATTGAGGGTTGGGATTTCAACAGATGATTTTTGGGGGTATGTAAACATCCAGTGTAGCAGAGCTCCTTTGTGGGTTTCCTTGAGGCTGAGCTGAGGCTGCAATTCTCTTTTTTTTTTTTTTCTTGAAATGGAGTCTCACTATCGCCAGGCTGGAGTATGGTGGCACAATTTCGGCTCACTGCAACCTGTCTTCTGGGTTCAAGCAATTCTCATGCCTCAGCCTCCTGAGTAGCTGGGATTACAGGCATGTGCCAACACACCCAGCTAATTTTTGTAGTTTTAGTAGAGACAGCGTTTCACCATGTTGGTCAGGCTGGTCTCGATCTCCTGACTTTGTGATCCACCTGCCTCAGCCTCCCGAAGTGCTGTGCCTGGCTGAGGCTGCAATTATTTAGAGATGCTGGGACTCAGTCTAGTCAGGGCTTCTGAAATGTTTGCTGACTTTAGCTAACTGGGCCACCCCAACCAACCATGAGCCACAGAACCAGGCAAGCTCACTCCAGAGGGAGCAGAGCCCATCTCACTCTTCCTTGATATAAGCTCAGACCGTGACTTATTGGTCCAGAGCCTTAGTCCTCAAGAGACATTTTCAAGGGTCTCTGCTCCCATCCCCTACTCACCCAGTTCTGTCTACTTCTGATTGCTCTGCCAGGATCTGACATTCTCCCTGGACTTTGGCAAGCACTCTTGGCATCTTCAGCTCACTCAGGGCCAATCCCTTCTCTCCTGGGACCTACTTTTCCACTCAACCTTATCATCTGTTGGGGTAAGGACCTCTGGATTCTGTGTCTGAGCCTCCTTGCTCTGAATTTAGAGGAGACTTTCCCTTCCTAGACTATAATCAGCTCTATTTACTCTAAATCTTCTGCCAAATGGATTAAGGATAGAGAAGGGTGAATCAGCAGGAGGGGGGTTGGTTCAGCCTCCCTTGGCTTAATCTCAAGTTGTTAACTTTTCTACTCCATTCTTCTCAGATTCCCACCCTTCTCTAGACTCCCTGGATGTTAAATTCAAGTCAACAGCTGCCAAAGAACTTTCTGTGAGTCGAGGACACTACGAAGCATGGAAGGATTAGAGGGAAGTCCAACCAAGCTCATGGCACTTGCCTGGGGACCACTTCAGTATCAACCATCTCTGTTAGTGACACGTTTTCTTTCTTTGGTTTTTGACCCGTCAAGGCCAATCCTCAGAGAACCCTAATGGCCCGAGAGTGTACTAGGTTTCTGAAAGACAGGAGATAGGTCCCAATCCCAGATAAATTGGCTCAACCTGTGGGAGCCTTGAACTAGCTTGAGGTGAAAGTTCTAGTTAGTGAGGATTGTTTACAGGAGGCCTTTGCGCCAAGTACACTATTTACCAAGGCGAGAGGAGGGTAGAGTCTCCCTCAAGGTTGCCAGAAATTTTAGGTTGTTTCCCAATCTTCAGGCACTGGTGTGCTGTCCCCCAGCTCTGGTTAGCATGTGGCTTCTGCCCAGCGGCTTTGACGTTGTTACATACTGCATATCCCCCAGGCCTTTTGCAAAAGGGCTGGCAAGAACACATCCCTGGCTTTCCTCTGTCTGTGGTGAAGCAGAAGTGGGCTGCCATCTACCTCTATCATGTGGACTTATGCAGGTCCTACCACTGATGCTAAGACAAGTGCTTTGCCCACAAGTAAACAATTCAGAAAGGAGCCAGGCTTTGTTGACTGTAAACGAAAAAATCCTCAATTGCATTGCCGCAAAGATCTGGCTAGTATAGTCTTAATAAAGTCAGATAATCATGGACTATGTAAGCTCTCAGAGACTTAGAAATCCTCTAATGCAGTCTCCTTACTCTACCACCAGAGGATCAGACCAGGGAGATTAAGACCTATGGATATAGGAAAGGCAGAATTTTGGAGCTCCAGTGGCACAATTGGTTAGCACATGGTACTTATACAGGAAAGGCAGAATTTTTAGGAAGCACTGTGGAAGGGGAAAAATATTTCTGATCCTTTTGTACAACCCTCCTTCTCCAATCCTTCCCCCACCCACCATGCCTTTCCTGGTGCCCAGCAACAAAGGTGTAACATTATCACAGTGCTCTCATTTCCCTCCCAAAGCACATTATGAGGCCTGTGCAGTAGCAGAAATGACTAGTTCTTCCCAATATATGATCTCTCTCTTTTCATAGAAATAGAGCCTCAAATTTGAGTCCTGTTACACAGATGAGGTTACCCACCAAGGCTCAGAGGGCTTCAAAGACTGCTCCAGAGTTGGTGCACATTTCAGTTAGGATTAAGCACAGAGACTCAAAATAGCTGTGGTAAAAACAAAATAAGAGTTTATTTTTCTTTCCCCTTGGAGACTGGGGGTAAGCCCTGCTTCACAAAGTCATAGGGACCAAGGATCCATCCATTGCTCTGCCATTCATAGGATGTGGTCCTTGCCTTCATGATCCAAGGTAGCAGCTAAAGCTCCAGCCATCACATTTTCATTCCAGGCAGCATAATAAAAGAATGGGTGGATAATAAAAAGAGGGAAGAAAAGCCTGCCCTCTCCCTTTAAGGACATTTGCTGAAAATTGCACTCACTGTTTTTGCTCTCCTTCCAGAATTTAGTCACATGGCCACATCTAATTGCAAGGAAGGCTGGGAAACGTTGTCTTTATTCCAGATGATCATGTGCCCACATAAACATTTGAGGCTCTATTTTATGAAAAGAGGGAGATCATGTATTAGGAAGAACTAGTCATTTCTGCTACAGTGATTTTGCCATCGAGGGGAAGAATCAGCTTTTAAATAGTTTATCTTTTCTCTTTTTATACAGAGACAGGCTCTCACTATGTTGCCAAGGCTGGTCTGGAACTCCTGGCCCCAAGCAATCCTCCCACCTTGGCCTCCCAAAGTGCTGGGATTACAGGCATGAGCCACCATGGCTGGCCTCAAGTGTTTTTCCCATTAGTTCATGCAGTTTCTCACCAGCCCATTCCCACACAATATCATCTGGAAAGGAATTGAGAAACTGTTGAGTCTAATTACTTTATTTTGCAGAAGAACATTATGGCACACCCTGGAATGGCCACCTCCAAACCATTCATAGTCCTCTATTCCTTTGTCTTCTACCATAGAAGCTGGAAAATTAAAATGCTTCTCTTCCTAGACTCCCATGCAGCTGGGCAGAGGACACATGTGTCTCAGTTCTGGCCAGTGATATATAAACAAAACTCACAAGCTGGGGGCTTCCAGGTAAAGAGAACATTTCTCTTTTAAAACACCCTTTGTCTGCGGGGTGTGGTGGCTCACACCTGTAATCCCAACACTTTGGGAGGCCGAGGCGAGTGGATCGCCTGACGTCAAGAGTTCAAGACCAGCCTGGCCAACATGGTGAAACCCCATCTCTACTAAAAATACAAAAATTAGCCAGGCGTGGTGGCATGTGCCTGTAGTCTCTGCTACTTGGGAGGCTGAGACAAGAGAATTGCTTAAACCCAGGAGGCAGAGGTTATAGTGAGCTGAGATTGCGCCACTACATTCCAGCCTGGGCTGAGTGAGACTCCATCTTAAAAAACAAACAAACAAACACCACCCTTTGTCTTCTGTACTCCTCTGTCTTCCTTCCTGAAATGCAGTTGCAATGCCTAGAAGTGCAGCAGCTGTCTTGCAGCCATGAAGATAAAAGCATCACACCGAGGATGGAAGATCAAGGAAATTGAAGGAGGCTGAGTCTTTAACGACAAGATTGAGGTGCCACAGCAACCTGATTTTCTTGTTGGTTAGATTTTCTGTTACCTGTGGCTAAATTTGATCCTAACTTATATGAGCATCCAGATAGCTTTCCCTGGGCCTGTGCTTTTCCTGCAAGGCCTAGAATCCCAGAGACTAAAGAATCCTTGAAAGAGCATCCTGCATGTCAAAGACATCATCCCAGACTTATCTCTTCTGATTCTACCCCCAATTATGCATTTTGCAGAGGATTTAGAGTGGGAGCAGAGACCCTGTCACACGAATAGTCCCTGCATTCACTGCACGTAAGTCCCTCTTGCTGAAAGAGTTGAGGGTTGAGTACCCTGAAGCTTAGTCTTCAGGAAGACCCCTTTCCTCTTAGCTAGTGTGTCCTAGTGTGGAAGCTACAAATCACTGGGACGATGTCCAGAAGGAGATGTCCAGGACTGGCTGGTGGAATATGGAACATTTAGCCTGGAGAAGAAAGGACTCAGGGAACAGAAAGATCGTCTTCAAACAGCTGAAGGGGCTGCCTTAAGATGAGTGAAGAGAAGGGCAGATGCTTTCTTCTCTGAGAGGTACTAAAGGACAGGGTGAGGACCAAGGGTCGGAGTGGCCAGGGAAGCTCGTTTGGGACCAGTCACAGAAAGATCTTTGTTAACAATTGGAGCTGCTTCCAAATGGGCTGGCCTACAAGATGTTTAAGAAAGGCAATGGCCGTTAGTCCAGGAGGTTTTAGAGCTAATTCAGGCATCCAACCAGCAGAGGACGGGAGAACTCCCACAGTCCTTCTCAGTGACAAAATTCTATAGTTCTGTGACTCAAACTACACATAACAAATGCCACATGGCACAGAAGGTAAAGAAGACAGGATTTGGAGTCAGAAAAACTAGATTTAGACCTGGTGTGGTGGCTCATGCTTGTAATCTCAGCACTTTGGAAAGCCGAGGCAGATGGATCACTTGAGGTCAGGAATTCAAGACCAGCCTGGCCAACATGGTGAAACCCTGTCTCTTCTAAAAATAAAAAATTAGCTGGGTGTGGTGGCAGGCACCTGTAGTCCCAGCTACTCCGGAGGCTGAGACAGGAGAATCACCGGCACCCGGGAGGTGGAGGTTGCAGTGAGCTGAGATTGTGCCGTTGCATTCCAGCCTGGGCAGTAAGAGTGAAACTGTCTCAAAAACAAAAACACAAAACAAAACAGAAACCACACTTGAAGTCATCGTAAAGCCTGGAGTTTGAATCCTGGCTCTGCCATAACAAGCCCTGTGACCTTGGATAAGTCACTTAACATCCCTTAGCTCCATTTGCTTTATGAGTAAAATGAGGAAAATAATATTCACCTCTCAACGGTGCCCTGAAGATTGGGGTCATATGTCAAGTTCCTAGCACAGAGATGGGCGCACATAGTACCAACTCCTCAAAATAACAGCTGAGTCACAGTGCTGGCTGATATGTCTCAGCTTCCCATGGAGAACCAGGGTGCTGCTCAAGCTTCACCCAGGGCCAAGAGCTCCCTCCTCTCTCCCTCTCCCCATTCTTCCCCCGCTTGCCACCACCAGTGCTGACCAGTAATGATCTAGATCATATGGGGACCTCTAAGGTAGCAAACTAATTGGTCCTGGTGGAGATAACTTGGACCACCCAGGCAGACAGCTCAGCATGGATAGAGGCCACCTCAGTGGATGTTAAACATTCACAAAACCGTAGAATGGAAATGCTGGCAACGCTTTAATCAGAGCAGGGCTGGCGGGTGTTGAGACCATGCAGATGAAGTGCAGCTTGGAGCCTGAGGGGCTACAGCTTAGGTGGCACTGGAGGTGATACCCTGAGCCTGCCCTGAGCCAAGAAATGCCTCCCATGCAAGGCCAGGGTGTCCTCTCTGGGGAGGAAGCCTCATGTGCAGCGCTTGAGGGTTTCTTAAAATAGAGCCAAAAGGGCTCCTGCTGCCAGCGCTAAGGAGCCGAGGGCTTTTCCCTCTCCCGCTGAAGGTTGTAATTCTCCTGCCATGATTCGGGTTCCCCTTGCCAGGACTGCTTAGCATTACTAGCTGTTCCAAAGGAGGCTCAGGGCCTTTGATGACAACGCCTGATGACTCAGAACTGAACACAGCTTGGAAGTGCTAACTGAGCAGCGTGGTCAGGGCAATCTAGGGCTGTCTTCTGCCTTCTGAGGATCTATGGTTTGGGCTCTGTTATTGGCTAAATTGTGTCCCCCATCACAATTCAGATGTTCAAGTCCTAAGCCCCGGGACCTCAGAATGTGACTGTATTTGGAGACAGGACCTTTAAAGATGTGATTAAACTAAAATGAGGTCTTTATGCTAGACCCTGATCCATTATGTCTGGTGTCCTTATAAGAAGAGGAGGCCAGGCACGGTGGCTCATGCCTGTAATATTACCACCACTTTGGGAGGCTGAGGCTGCAGGATTGCTTGAGGCCAGGAGTTCAAGACCAGCCTGGGCAACATAGTGAGATCTCGTCCCTACAAAAAATTCAAAAATTAGCCAGATGCGATCATGTGTATCTAGAGTCCCAGCTACACGGAAGGCTGAGGCAAGAGTTCGAGACTGCAGTGAGCTACAGTCACACCACTGTATTTCAGCCTAGGTGACAGAATGAGACCCTGTCTCTTAAAAGAAAAAAAGAGGAGATGAGGACACAGATGTGCACAAAGGAAAAACCATGTGAAGACATGATGATAAGAAGGCCACACATGCAGGCCAAGGTCAGAGATCTCAGAAGGAACCAACCCTGTGACACCTCAGTCTAGGACTTCCAGCCTTCAGAACAGTGAGACGATACATTTCTGTTGTTTAAGCCTCCCAGTGTGTGGTACCTCATTGCAGCAGCCCTAATAGTCTAATAGAGGCTTTTACAACTCCGTTCTGTGCTTTCACCCTGAAAAAAGAATAAGAAGGCAAAGGAGAGGATACTAGTTGGAACTGATTGGGACTTATCTGTCCTCTCACCCAAATAAACTGCTAGATGCCTGGTCTCTATCACGATCGGGGTATATTTATAATAGACTACAGAAGCCAATTGTGGCTAATAGTGGTGAAAGTGTCCTCTCAAGGTTGACAAGAGTTGCATGCTGTGGACAGAAATACAGTTATCATTAAGCATCAGTCAGACTGCACTCTGGCCCACTTCCTTATTGCTAAAAGTCCTGCAGCACTAGATACTGACCATTTGCCTCCCCGCTGTCCTATAGATAGAATTTCTGACTGTTAAAGAATTGATTTGCATTCCCATTGTTCCTACAGACAGGATCTCTGACATCAGAATCATAAGGTTTTTGTTTAAGGATCACTTAAGATGGTTTTCAGACCTGGAATTCCAGCAGTGAAATTCTTCAAAACTCTGCTTTGAAGATGCCCACAGAGGAACAAGATCAGCTCGAGAACACAGCTTCTTCACCTCCTGGTCCCATGACCTCACTCTGCACTCTTCCACCAATCAACCATCTCCACACTTTGGCCCACTCCAAAACCGTTAAAAATTCTAACCCTCAATTCCACAGGGAGATGGATTTGAACTTCCCTCCCATTTCCTCATTCAGCAACCCTATAATTAAACCTCTTTCTCTGCTGCAACCCAGCGTCTCAGTGTACTGACTTGCTGTGTGCATCGGGCAATGAAGCCATTACAGTTACAATGGCATCTGAAGACTAAACATTTTGGGGGACTCTCTTTTTTTTAAATGAATACAAAATTGCAAATACAAAACCTACTATGAAAATGAACATTTAAATGAGAAAATAAATGACAATTATGAAATTTAAAAGCTCACAAAGACCTCAAACTTTACGAAATCCAGAAAAATATCTAGTACCTTTCCCAATGAATCGGTGGAAACACTCCTGTGATTCCTTTTTGCTACTCTCGTGGACTGTGCTGCTTTGATGGCCTTTTCATGATAACGATTTTTAACATTGTTTTCTATAGAGACAATAGAAAGATCAGTCTTTCCTCCAGTGTGCTTGATCTCCTTTTTATAAAATTATTGATAGTGTTGCAAAGTTTCTTTCAGATTCACTAGTTGTCCCTGGTAATTAGTTTCCACTGTGATGTGTTAAGAAGCCTGACATTTTGAAGTATCTGTGGATCTCCTTCTACTTTACGTTTTTGACTACTACCGAGATACTCCTACCTTCCTATCCTATTTGAATTTTGGTATGATCAGTAATTCATATGTGTGTGTGTGTGTGTTTGTGAAATTAACACGAAGTTAAGGTGTATATATTGTGCTGCAGAGCTGCATAATTGAATAATAAAATAAAATTACTCTGATGCTACATGCATTGATGTAAGCCTGTGTAGTTTTGCCACAAGAGCACTTGTTCCTTCAGGCTGTTTTGCTGCATCCGTAGCAATTTTGCATGCTCTTTTTCTTTCTGGATCCACCGGCCTCCATCAGGACAAGATGTGTCAGATATGCTAAAATGCAATCTGAAACACTGGTTGAGTAAAACTTGCCACTTTTCAAGCAGATGCCACTTTTGTTTGTAGGACTGTTGCAGTTTCGTGCCCTCCGAAACACATGAATTTTGATAAATCCTTTTTTGTGCAAGTCCCATCAGAAAAGAAATAAAAATATATGGTGCGTTATTAATTGCATACACTGCATTATTGAGTCTATTCCTGACAAAAGCAAATTTCCATTTTGACTCGGAAGATTTTCCACAGATTAGCTCCTGGCTTTGTACATTTCAGGCTTCGTTTCTTCTGCTCCCTATGTATTTTTAGGGGTTGTGTGCCATAGGACACCGTGGAAGATTGTATTTTCCAAAATGGTCATGATCAGATCCTCCATCTCACATGCTCTTCTTATAATGGGATATTGGTATTTCCCTCATTGAGGGGTGGGACCTGTCTTCCTTCCCCTTATCTGAGTGGGTCTGTGATTACCAAAGTGACACTATGTGACTTCCAAGGTGGTGATAAAAGGCAAGACAGCTTCCACTTGGCCCTCTTGGGACAATCACCCTTAGAACCCAGCCACCATGCCCAGGACCCACAGAAAGGCCACAGCCAGCTAGCTGAGGTCGAAGCTCACAGCCAGCATCTACCACCAGATACCTGAGCTTGGAGCCTCCAGATGATCCCAACCCCCAGCCTTTGAGCCACCCTAGTTGATGCCATGTGAAACGATGGCAAGTTGTCCCTGCAAAGCCCTGCCCACTGCAGATTTGTGAGCAAAACAAATGACTGTTGTCATTTGAAGCCACTGAGTTCTAGAATGACTTGCTATGTCAGAAGAGACACCCAGGACAGACACATTTATGTTGTGAAACAACGTCTGGCACTTACCTTCAAGTGTCAATACTGGCCAAGTCAGCCCAGAAGGCAGTAGGAGAGTTCCTGAAGGCTATTTATGCTCTGCAATGTGTCGTGGTTAGCATCAACTTTACATGGAAGCGGTTGCAAAGCCCTAAACAAAAACTAAGTGTATCCTCACTTCTATTTCCCCTTAGCCAGAACCCAAATATGCCTGCAGCTACTCTTACACCACCTGACCCAATGGAGGTATGATAGAGGGAAGTTAAACTGGAAACAGATGGTGGTCTGTACAAAACATCTAAGTACCCTACGACCCCTGAGCCAAGCTTGGAAGGGGCCAGTGTAAGTGAGGGGCCTGAAGCTTAAGCTTAGGCTCACAGTAAATCCACTTCTGTAGCCAATATTTACTGAATGCTTTTAAGTGCTACGTCCTGAGCTAAGCTCCTTACATGAACAGTCATAATTTCTTAGATTATGACCCTCTAGGTGGGTATAATTCTTATCCCTATTCTACAGATGAGAAAAGAGAAGCCCAATATAGGCTTCTCTTAAGTCATGAATAATTCCAATACATTCGGCATGTATTTTTGGGGCACTTGATTTTAAAACAAGTAAGTATTTGTGTATTATCTTAATTATACAAAGGATATGCAAATCCATTATGGATGTTGTACTTATAACAACACTCCAGACACAAATCTTTTTCTTTTTTTTTTTTTAAGATGGTGTCTTGCTCTGTCACCCAGGCTGGAGGGAGTGGCACAGTCATTTGTAGAAATGGGGGATTGATCTCACTGTGTTGCCCAGGCTGGCCTCTAACTCTTGGGCTCAAGGGATCCTCCCAACTCAGCCTCCCAAAATGCTGGGATTACAGGCATGAGCCACCACACCTGACCAGGCACAAATGTTATGTCCATTTTGTAGAGATGCAAACTGAGGCGAGGCACTGAACTGAGCTGTCATAAAGACCAAGATGCATTCCTCACTCTGGGGAGTATGCCTTCCTCAAAAAGGCTAAGAAATGCTTTTAATTTGGAGAAAATAACCAAAGACACTGTAGATGTTAGTGTCAAATGGGGAGGAGCTGCGGTGCACTGTGGGTTGGGCAAACAGGCCTTGAGGTAGAGTCTAAGAAGCGGCCCTCCACTCATTTGAAATTTGAGTATTGCACTAACACTTCGCTAGTAAGGATATGCTTCCTCTTCTGGAGGACTAATGTGGCCTCTTTGGGTAAAATCATGGATAATTAACAAACATTTACTGAGGGCCTTTTGGATATAAGACTCGGAACTAGATTCTAGACTTATCTTTGAAGAGCTTTAAGTCCTGCGGAGAAGAAAAACCAAGTAATGATAATAATGTTAACCGCCACTCCAATTCTTTGAGAATTAGTCATCCTGCTAGGCATTTTCCCCCTACATTATATGGTCAAGCCTCAAAAAAATCTTAAGGAGATGAGCATTATTATTCCCCTTTTTAACAAGAGAGAACTGAGGGCTGTGAGTTGCCAAGTCCACAGTTAATAGGCAGCAGAATGGGAAGTTGAATAAAGCAAAGGCTTGCTGTCTTTGTGTCCATATGTCTTTCACTCTGGTTAACAGTACATCTTGGTAAAGGTCCAAGAGATGTCATGGGAAGTCAGAGTGGAAAAGGCAGGAAGTCACATAGCTGGGAGTCAGAGACAGTTCCACAGAGAAGGAATAACCTCAAACACAGAAGGTGGGGCCAATTTATCTGGCCAGAGAGATACAGAGAGGACATTTGGGGGAGTAACACGAACAAAGTCAGAGGTTGACAGGACATTGGGGGAGGGCACAGGAGGGGACTTGAGCAGAGGTTGTATAGCAATGATGGGAGATGATTTATTCCCATGCATGTGATGGTTTTTTCAATGCTATTGTAAAATGATGTGCTTTTATTTTCCAATTTTTCTGTTTCTAATATATAAAAATGCAATTGGTTTTTGTACATTTGCCATTTATCCCATGACTTTGCTAAATTCATTTATCAGTTCTGGTGGTTTGTTTATAGGTTTCCTTGAATTTTCTATAGACACGATTATATCAGCTGAGGAGAAAGACAATTTTACTTCTTTCTTTCCAATTTTTGTTTGTTTCTTTTTCCTGTTTCATTGCACTGGCAAGGACCTCTAGTACAATGCTGAATAGAAGTGACGAGAATGGAGATCTTTGTCTTATTCATGATCTTAGAGTGAAAGCAGTCTTCTATGATTAAGTATGATATTAGCTGTAGGTTTCTTTTGTAGATATCTTTTATCATATTGAGAAAGTTCTCTTTTATTTCCCGTTTGCTGAGAGGCTGTATCCTGAGCTAGCCAAATCTTAACATTTATAGCCTGTTCCCAGTTGTGCTGTGGGGAATAAAAAAGGGTGGTAACTTTTTATTCATCTGTGGAGTATTTATCGATCTGGGTCAGCACTTTCATTTGGGAAACTGGGGAGACAGACAGGAATAGTCATCAGCAGAATATGGCCATGCCCAGTGGAGTATAGACCTCCCAGAGTCAGTAGCAAACAGAGAGCTGCATGGTGACTAGACAGGGCAGAGCAGAGGGACCATAGAGACTGCTTCCAGGATGCAGGTAAGGCAACTATAGGAAAGTCCAGAAACAATTGGGGGTGTGGGAAATGGGGATGCTTCTTCCGGCAAGAAGGCCAATGGGGGCTTGCCATGATCGCTGGGTTTTAAACAAAGTGTAATTACTATTACAATTTAACTGGGTAGAGGAACCAGTAGTTCATTCTACTCTGGGATGTGAAAGAACTTTTTTTTTTTAAATTACATTTTATAACATAGAAGAAAGTTGAAAGAATTGTGCAAGGAAACACCTGATCACCTTCCCCACCTACTATGGTTTGGATGTTTGCCCCTTCCAAACCTCATGTTGAAGTTTAATTACCATTGTAATAGTATTAGGAGGTGAGACCTTTAAGAGGTAATTAGGCCATAGGGGCTTCACTGTCATGGTTGAGATTGGTGCCATGTTCAGGCTTTCTCTTGCCTATTCTTGGCTCTTCCACTCTTCTGCCACATGAGGAACAATGTTCCTCCCCTCTGCTTTGGAGGATGCAGTGTTCATGGAGCCACCTTGGAAACAGAGACAGGACCCTTCCCAGACACTAAACCTGCCAGTGCCTTGATCTTGGACTTCCCAGCCTCCAGAACTTTGAGAAATACATTTTAATTGTTTATAAATTACTCAGTTTGTTGTATTCTGTTACAGGAGCACAAAATAGACTAAGAAATCATCCTATCCCATACGCAACAACTGCTAACATTTTGCCACATTTGCCAGATCTCTTTGTATTAGGTTGAGTCAGATGAATTGCCTTTTTTGTTTGTCAAAAATCTTTGAATATCAGAAATTTCACAAGGATTAACCTAACATATAAATACTTTGTTTTGGCCAAATCACTTGAAAGTTGCAGCTATTGCTATACTCCCCCCCTAAATACTTTCTACATGCATCTGCTAAGAGCAGGAACATTTTCCTATAAAACCACAATACCACTTTCACATTAAGAAAATTAACATTACTTCACATATGTGGTAGCCAATCTCCAAAGTGGCCCCCAGTGGTTCCTACCTCCTGTTATTCACACTCTTGTGGATTCTCTTCCCACAGTGAATAAGGCTGAACTGGGTAACCAATAGGATACTAAGGAAGTGATGGAGTTTGATTCCTGAGGCTAGACTGTAAGAGAGTTTGTGGCTTCTTCCTTGCTTTGTTGGATCTCTTGCTCAGGGAGAAGCCAGCTGCCATACTGTGAGGGTACTCAAGTAGCCTATAAAGAGACCTGGGTGGCAATAAAAAACAGGACTCCTGCCAATAGTCAGAACCAACTTGCCAGTCATGTGAGAGAGCCATCTGGAAGCAGATCCTCCAGTCCCAGTTGAGCTTTTGGATGGCTGCAGCCCTACCGTACATCTTAACTGCAATCTTATGGAAGTCCCTCAGCCACAACCATCCAGTCGAGCTGCTCCTGGGTTCCCAATTCACAGAAACTGGATGATTTAATAAATTGTTGTTGTTTTCAGCCACTGAGTATTGGGGTAACTGTTACTTAGCAATAGGTAGCAATTCAATAGCTAATACATCATCTAATATCTCATACACATTCAGATTGCCCCAGTTATCTCCAGAAGTGTCTTAGAGGTTTGGGGGAGATTTTTGGTTTTGTTGGGGTGTGGGAATCAAGGTTCACATACTGCACTTAGTTAATATGTCTCTATAGTCTTAGTGTCTGGGATGGGGAGTACTTGTATGAGTGAAGGAAAACCGGAACTGGCGCTCAT